CACGCCACTCCTACCAGGCCGACATCGAGGCTCGCTCCCCAGGGAGGGTCAAGGTCCAGGGGTCCGGCGGCTGCCCCGAGGTCCGCTAGGAGGTGGCGGCACTGGAGTGGCCTTTCTCCAGCCTGCACCGACCCCGCCTTGAGTGCCCTGCGTGTGACCAACGGTGGTACCGGAGCGGCCTTAGAGACTGACCGCTGCCTCTGAGTTGAGTCTTAAGCCCCTCGTTGGGCCTGGCCGAGCCCCCGGTCTGCGCCTTTCCCCAGCCTGGAGACGATGCCAAAGCTGCAGGGCTTCGAGTTCTGGAGCCGCACCCTGCGTGGCGCCCGCCACGTGGTGGCCCCCATGGTGGACCAGAGCGAGCTGGCCTGGAGGCTGCTGAGCCGGCGCCACGGAGCCCAGCTCTGCTACACGCCCATGCTGCACGCCCAGGTCTTCGTCCGCGACGCCAACTACCGGAAGGAGAACCTGTACTGCGAGGTGTGCCCCGAGGACCGGCCCCTCATCGTGCAGGTGCGCGGGAGGGGCTGTGGCGGCGGCAGCGGTTGGGTCCGGGGCCCTGGAATGCCTGGGGAAAAACCCTTCCCTCTGTGGCCGGACATCACTTCCAGCCTTTCCAGACAGCTCAGTTCCAGGAGGAGAGGGAGAAGGTGGCACCAGGCGTGTAGAGTCCACATGGCCACAGCAGTGATTCCTGTGGTGGAGCCAGGGCTGCCAGGTGCACCTCCCAGAATCCACCCCTATTCTCTAGGAGCTGGCTGAGGCAGCTGGGGTGCTGTGAGGTTCGCAGCCCTGCTGGGGCCTCTGGATTGCTGCTTCTCACACTCACACTCCCTCTTCAGAACGAGTAGAGATGGCGCTGCTCTTCAGAAGTCAGTGATTGTGGCTTCTGCCACAGTTCAGAAAATCTGTAAATCCGGGTGGTTTGGGGACTCCTCCTGGCTTTGTCATAGTGTAAGTCTTCGCAGGACAGGGCACCCTCCTGCGGTGAACCTGGGCCCACACCCTCCTGGGGTCACACTGGACCTCTCGTAGGGCTGGGCAGCAAGGGACTAGCGCCTGGCTGGGTGCATCGCTGACTCCTGCGTCTTCTCCAGTTCTGTGCCAATGACCCGGAAGTGTTTGTTCAGGCGGCTCTCCTGGCTCAGGATTACTGTGACGCCATTGACCTGAACTTGGGCTGCCCACAGATGATAGCCAAGAGAGGTGAGCTCCATGTGGAGCATGGGGGCACCCGGGGCAGGGGCCAGAGCCAGCTCAGTGCAGCCCCAGGTGTGGTCAGCTTGGAGGATGGCAGGCCTTGCCTCTGTCATGACAGTGGCTCAGGCTGGAGCCAGCCATCCTCTGTGCTCTGCCTTTGGAGGGTGGCTGTCCTCAGGCCTTCGGGGCTGGGGGCTGAGCCCTACTGGCTCTCCCTTCCCTCAGGGAGCTCCCTCTGCATAAACATGATTGCTGATACAGGGTCCCCGCCACCCCCTTGCACTGCTGTGTGTGGGGCTGAGCCTGTCTACCTCACTGGGCCCCTGAGGAGGTGTTACTTGGTCCCAGACCGTGGGGCGGTGGGGGTTCCATTCAGCACCTTCTGAGCTTAGGCAGCTGGGCAAATAGAGCCCCTGAATCTGATGCCGACAAACCACTGCTCTGACTGTCCCACTGCCCCAACTAGAGACACTGCTGGTTCTGGGGACCTGCGTCCGGCCTGGCAGGGCAGCTTCTGGCCTGCATGGATGGAGGAGAGGGTGCAGAGGGGGTGCAAGGCCTCGGCTCCACCAGCCTTAACACAGGTGCCAGCCAGGCCATGCTTGCTCTTTGCAGGTCACTATGGTGCCTTCCTGCAGGATGAGTGGGACCTGCTCCAAAGAATGAGTGAGTTGGCTGGGTGGGTGGTGAAGGACCCCCAGAGACCCTCGAGAGGGACACATGGGCACTGTCCACTTGGTTGGGGCTTAGGAGAGGACAGGCGTTGGCAGGAGCTCTCAGCATCACTCTGGGGCTTCCTGCTCAAAGCAGCCTCTCTGCTGGAAGGAGGTGGCTGTGAAGTTGCCTGTCCTGTGCCACCCACCCCTTAAAACCAGACAGTAGGTGCCAGGACAGAGTCCTTGCTCAGGCCCAGCCCCAAATGTCCTGGGAGATAAAGCTGGCCTCGGCCCTGCTTGTTTGAACTTGGGAGGGCTGGGGGAATGGCAGAGGGAGCCTGCCCAGCAACCTGAGGGAGACACCCAGATGGTGGCCCAGGCTGCCTCCCAACCTCCCAGCAAAGCTGCCTGGACTCCGCTATCTGCGGGGCCCGGGACTCTGGGGCTTGGCCGCTAAAGTGGGAACACCATGGCCCCCTCGGAAGCTGCCTGTCTTCTCCCCAGTTTTGCTGGCCCACGAGAAACTCTCTGTTCCTGTCACGTGCAAAATCCGTGTCTTCCCGGAGATTGACAAGACCGTGAGGTACGCCCAGATGCTGGAGAAGGCCGGTTGCCAGGTGAGCCCTGGTCTCGCAGGGGTGTCGTGGGCCTTGGCTGGGCCTTTGCGCAGAGGACACAGCTGAGACTCTTCCCGTGTCCACTCAGACACTGTGCACTGTCGGCCTCATGGGGGCAGTGGCCCTCCTGACTGGCCTGCCCCCACTGACCTGAGTGCCACCACCCCAAGCCCAGGCCTTCGCAACAGAAACTGCTTTCCTGGCTCCAGAGTTTTGTCCCTGTGGATAGAGTAATGTCAGCATCTCTACCATGTTCCTAGTGTCACAGAGGCCGGCAGGGCCTCCTTTGGGGATACTCAGCATCCAGTCTCCCTAGAGGGTCAGGAAGGGGCCAACAGGCTGTCAGCAGAGCTGCTCCCCTGCCTGGGTCCCCTGCACACCGAGCCTGGCCTGGGGCAGGCCTGGATGGGCTGCTGTCTCCAGGGGTGCCCCTCAAGACACTCAACCTTCTGAAGGCAGACAGCAACCCTGGTGACCCAGGGATGAGCTTGCACAGGGGCTGCTGGGCCCAGGCCCCACTTTCCCCCTGTGCCCCACCAGCCTGGAGCTAGTCCCTCCACACCTTTGGCCTTGGGCAGTGGGGATGCTGCCACTTCCTGGCCTGACTCTTGCATGGGCCTGGGCAGCACATGCAGCCTGAGGCTCCCACAGAGTGCAGAGCCTTTGGGGCAGGCCCCAGATGGTCTTTCCTCAGCCCTGCTTCAGGAGCTGAGATGGTGAGGGAAAGGTCCCTGGAGTCGGGCATGGGGCACAGGGCTTGGAGGGGCAGAGGGGGCTCGGAGGGGTGGA